GGTGGGGGGTGCGGGGCGGTTGGGTGAAACGGCGGCGGCGGCGGCGGCCCCTGCGCTGCTCCCTGTCCCGGTAGGTGGGCGGCAGGCGGGGAGGGGGAGAGGCCTTTCTGAGCCGCCCGAGGGGAAATCCCTAGCAGGTTCTCGGTTCCCGGTTTGCTGGGGGAAGGGGCTCTGGCGGGGTGAGTTCCTGCTCTTTTAAATCTGGCGGTTCTCCGGAGGCTGAAGGTGTCTGTGAAGGACTCGAGGCCACAGTGTTAATCCCACTCGTGTGTGCAGAAGTAAATAGGATTCACGAAATCTAACGCAGCGTTCCTGTGAGCGTTCCCTTTGAACGCGCTGTGATCGTCATGCTGGCGTGTGCTTGCAAGGAGGATGCCGTTAAGCGTTTGTTACTAACGAGTGCCTACCTCCTTATCCCCTTTTCATAGAGACAGAGGGACAGGAAAGATGGTGATGCACTTGGAGAAAAACGCTCCATCTAAACAGTACAAAAACCGAGGATAATTGACATTAACAGTTTCTCATGGGAACCAGTATCACTCCGGAAAGATGCTCACATTTGTATGCTTGCCTTTCTACTGTGCAACAGACTCCTTAGCCATCCCTTTTTTTTTTTTTTTTTTCCTCAGACACCCCTGGTTGGAATGATTTGATACAGGGAGAAAAGACTTTTATTTCCATTAGAGGCTTAGGGTTCAGCCAGAGCCATTAGTCTGATATTCAGATACTTTCTGAAAGCTGTCAGAAAAGGAGCTCACTCCTGGGGTTGCATTTCTGGCTGTGTTGTTCTTCCCTTTGCATTGTCATGTCTTCATCTTAAATAACACCTAAGGTGTCAGCCTGCTTTCCAGACAAGTCCAGTTCTGCTTCCTTCTTGACTAAACCTAACTGGGAATTTTGAGTGGCAGGTTTATTTCTGGCTTTTTGGAGCGCATTTGTCCTCCATCTGAGTCTTCTGGTTAAATGCTTGCCATGTGAAGTGTTTTAAGCTTTTTAGTGTTTTGCTTGGGCCTTCTGCTTGGCTTTTCCTCTACATGTTGTTGTTTTGTGGTTTTTTTCAACTGCAAAGCTTCAAAACAAATTTATCTTAGTAGGATGCCCGTAGCTTTGGTCTGTCTAGAAGAAAGAAGATGATTTGCTGGCTTCTCACAGTGCCCATGTAGTCAAAAAGCACTAAAGCAAAACCAAGCCCCTACACATCTGTGTGATGTAAATATATTCAATAACAAAGAGATACATGGAATTTTTACAGGACTGTAGGATCCATTTGAAAATGTTACAGAGCCTGGTCAGTCTAGTCACAACTGAGTAATAATTTCAATGAAGAATCTCATTTCTGTTGGTGACTTGAGACCTTCAAATAGTAGAAATGAGCCTACAAGATCATGTAACAAGAGCACAAAAAGCAAGATAGTGCATGTATGGATTAATAAGTATTTGTAGCATAAATCCGGGAGCCCTCCAGCAGAGTAATGGGAAAATACCTGGGTTTATGAGTCAGCAATGAAAGGAAGCTGCCAATTTAATGTGGTTGTGAAGAAACAAGTGACTGTGGAGTGCACACAGTCAAGCTTCTGGATGACTAGTGAGACATTACCGTGTCCAGTTCTGATAAACCATGTCCAGGAAAGGATGTTCAGAAATACACTGGGGAGGGTTACCAGAAAAGAACAAAGCTTATCTACAAGAGTATACTGGGAATATTAACCTAGGAAAAGCAAATGCAGAGAAGGGTTATGGGTAACCAATAAGGCAAGGTAGAGTCAAGCCCAAGCGAACAGGCATTTAAGCTTATGAAGAATATTGATAGAAGAGCATGAATCTAAAGTGATTATAATCTAGATAACTTGTAGTTTTCTATCTCAGAGGACTAAAGGTTTCATCTTCTGTTAAGAACAGTGAAAGATGAACATGTCTAACAGGCTTTAAAATGTGTTGTGCTTCAGGACAGGAAGACGATGTGCAATCATACAAAATATGTCTAAGTGATCTGTGTTGAAGGGAGGAGATTTGGGCCTCCCTTCTTATCCTGAGACTGGAACAATCTGATGTTCAGTACTTCTCAGAAAGAAGCTGTCAGCTGCTGGTTCATGATGAGGATGATGATTAGAGTGAAAGGGCAGTGGTTCAGAAAGAGTTTACAGGAATGCTCCCACTGGAAAGATTTACACCAGGTTTTTGGTCTCATAGATTACTGAGTTTGATGAGCAGCAAAGTTGTTTTTCACTTAATAATGATAGTGGGGTGACGTGCAGGGATTAAAGAAACATGTACAAAACTGAAATATAGAGGGACAGTATGTGTAGCATGGAGGATGGAAAAGAAAAGGCAGGATGGTCAACTGGAGGAGGTGCTGGATGCCTTGAACAGATGACGGTTCCCAAGGATCTCAGCCACTTCACTTGTGAGGCTGAACACCTTCTCATTGCCCTGTTATTCTAGCCTTCACCTTTGGCAGATTCTGGTTTATCTGGGGAGAACGACAACATTGAAAATTTAGCTAATAAGCGCCAGAGGCTCAGCCCTGAAAACAAATGCCGTATCAGTTATGTGAAGTTATTTATAGTGAGGTGGAGAACATGGGGCCATGTAGGTGCTGCCAGGCTTTTTATGCACATTGATTATGCTTTTGCTATTCTTTACCAAAGAGTAGGGGGGAAAAAAAGAAGTAAATTTCGGGGGAAGAGAAACTTCCTGCCACAAAAGACTGAACTGGGCAAGGCTTGCCAGGCAAATATCTCAGCCAGGCAAATATCTCAGGCCACAGCATGTTTTCTCAGCGTGATTTCTTTTGCAGCTTCTCACAGGACACTCAGGAGTCATCCAGTCCCTCTGTGCTGTACAGTTGGGTTTTTGCCGACTTCCTAAGATTTAGAAACTTCAGTTTTATTGCTCACTTCTCAAGTCTTTTTATGTCTTATATTGAACTATCATATTTCAAACTTCAGCAGCCTGCGGCTAACCACACTGTTTTATGATAGGCTGGAGTTTCTCAATAAATATTGAATTTTTATCTTATGCAGAAACCACCATACTATTTCATAAGTTTTTGCTAGCTATTGTAGCCTCTGACTACATGTTAGATTATGTGTATGAAAGGGGAGTAAGGCCTCCAACATCTATTTTCATTCCAAAGCCAGTAATTCTTCAGTAGTAACAGCATCAGTGGCAAGATGCAAACTGGAGCAATATGAAAAATGGGGAAATCCATAGCTCCCTTCCTCTGAGAGCCGATGATGGTCTCCTGACACCAAAGCACAAAAGAACGTGTGAAACAGAGCCTGTCTACCCTACAAACTGTTCTAGTGTATATTTGTTTCCCATGGTCTTTTAAGTGCATGTTAGTAGAACAACAGTGATTTCCTGTCCTTGCTTAGTGTCATATTTTTACATTCAGGCTGTCAATGCAGTTCTGTCGTCACGTGGATTGCTCCTGACCATGTGTCATTACAGTATTTTAGGAAGTGTAGCCAGTGTTAAGGATTGAGATTATGTTTAGCCTTTAATATTTCTCCCTAAATTAGTTATCTTATTAGAACTGACCGTAAAGTCGTTACCAAATTCAGGATGCAATTAACTGGAGTGAAAGGTGGCTGACTTTTCTTACCCTATCCTTATCATTTTTAGGTGATCACACTGTTAATTTCTCTTTCATCCTGGCAGTAATATTGTCTTTTTTTTTACTGACTGCAGAATTGTAGGTGTTTGGCATCTTCATTCATGAAAGCAGCAGCTTTCTAGAGGAGAGAGGAACCACCTGAGTGTACTTATAAAGGGAAAAGAGGTTGGACCTCCTCCTCCGTCCTGTTTGGCAGCCGTCGGGTGGCAGCTCTGATCGCCCAAGAGCCGGACCAGTGACAGCAAACCCTGTCTGCAGCTTGGTGGAGGGTGTGGAGTGGGATTTAATTTACTGCACTGTAAGAGCATGTTTTGGAAGCTAGGTTTCATTAGCTTCACTGCTTGCAAGCCAGTTTGGGTTTGCTGGGGTTTTTTGTTTTGTTCTTAAGGAAATCTAAGCACTTGTTTTTGAAGGTATAGTGGGTGTGCTTTTGTTTTGTAGTGGTGAAACCTAGTGTGAGCTTTGTGATGACTTTTGTGTCTGTGTTAAGCTTTACTGCAGTCAGGGGTGCTCTGTGCAAAGGTGAGATAGCAGCTCTCCAGAGACCTCATTGTAAGGTCGGAGTTGAAATTTGCAGTCATAAACTGCAGTCATCAGTGTCTGCACTGGTTGGGGTTAACAGTTCTCTGAGCACAGGGAATTGCCCATGTACCATACTGGGCTTAGTGCCCTAAGGTGGTAAACTAGAGTGCATGGGGGCTGAAGTTTAGCTGATCCACTGAGTGTGGTTAAGTGTGATGGGGATCAGCATTGCCGTGCTTTAGTTCTGGTACCTGTTTTTGGGAAAATAGTTTGCAAATCTGAGGTAAGCACTAGGAAATTCGTGGCAAAATTGAGACTTTAGCACTTGGATTTTCAGCGGTCAAGCATGCTGAGACCAGCTGATTGAAATGCTGCAAGGGCAGCTCTTTTCTCCTCAGTTTAAATTGCTTATAGCCTTCATTTAAGCATATTTAGAGTGAGGGAGCCAAAATCTGAAATGGTCTCTTGCACTTTCTGCAACTCCATAGGGGTGTAAGCAGACCCTGCCCGCTTGCTGTGTTAGTTCCCCAGCCCTGCCCAGACCCACACCACCTTTCTCCTTCTTACACCTGTGCTGGGCTGTTCCAGCTCACTGAATTTGTAGAAAGCAAATCCAGA